TAGCCTATTAACATTAGCAATTGTTCCTCTGCACATTTAACAATTCATATGCATCACTAGCATGAGTACATTAGCCATCATTTAGGCGAATAGTCTGACTGATGGACTCATACCCCTGTAATGCCAGAAGCAAAAACAGAACCAACCACCAACAACAAAATAGAGAAGAAGCCAGCATGAGGGTGCCATTTTATTTTATTTTGCTAAATAATAATATTTTAAAATCTACAATTTGAAAAGTCTAACATTTATAGGTCCATGAAATAAAGGCCATTCTATTAATAACAGCAAAAAGGTAAAAAAAAAAAAAAGTTACTTCAGAAGAAAGACCTTTTTTAAAAATTTGAATTAATTTAACCTAATGAAACACACACTTTAACGGTCTCTATTTTATTCTTTCATTTCAATTTCTAGAAACCTTTGTATTGATTTCCATAATTTCTAAGCCAAATTTCAAAAGCTAAATTGAAGCCTGGTTTATTTCATTATATCCTCAATGGAGGAAAAAAGTAATTTTTCACTCTCGTCCATATAATAACACATGCAAAGTTTTAAGTCAAGGGTCCACTCAGTCTTAGCTCGTTTAGTACTTTTAACTGTTTCTGCCTGGTCAGATTTGCCATTTGTTCTTCCTCTCAGCACTCAGGCACAGCTCTGGGTGCTGAGCATGCCGTGAGGACGGCATCCAGAGCTTAGACTCAAGCATCGCCCGAGCTAAGCCCATAACCTAGTGAGACGGATGAAGGGAGGCATTCCAGCTTGCGCGAAACCTTAAGAGCTGTAAAACTAGCTAGTAGAGAGCTGACAGCATTCCTTGGGGCACACAGGACAGCAATAATGGTGCAGTCTCTGGGGTCACATTGCCCAGACTCCCAGCTCCTCACAGTACATGCCAAGTACCTCACCACTCACTCTAACACTCCATTTCCAGAACTGTAAAATGTGTTTAACAACGTGCTTACCTCAACCGAGTTGTTCTGAGAAATAACAATTAAGTGGGTGAAGCCTCAAGAATAGTGCCTAGCATATGACAGTAGTTCAGGACATATTACTATGTAGTGTTAGCTCTCAAGGCATAGAAAATAGCATGCATGCCTTTCACTTAGTTTTATTTCCCCATTACCTGATACAGTGATTTTAACACAGTGGTGTTTAAGGAATAGCAATTGGACACTTTGGTATTAGACTGTTGGCATTAGTATATCTGCACTTTTATCAAACTATTAGAATTTTTCATTGGATGGAATATCTTGCTCCCAAATAGTGGTTCAAGTATTACCAAAGCAGAACTGTAAAATTACATTCCTATCAGCTGCAGCATCATGGCAGCAAGGCTTGGTAGGTTATGAAGAGACCATCAAGATGTGAGTTGCAGGTGAACTAAGAGAGCTAATTCAGGGGTGGCTCATAGCTGGTTGTATAAAAATCCCTCAGATTTCCTAAATTTTATCAAAAACTGAAAACATATTCAGATAACATACCTAAATATTCAGAGGAGACATGATTACAAAATGCAAATAAGCAGGGCTCAGATTCAGTCACTCACATGACCATCTACTGTGTCTGAGATGTCCTTCTCTGTGGGGGATGGACACACAGACCCCTGGCACAGCCCTTTCCCTCAAGGGCCTCAGTCTGGTATGTGGCACCTTGTGTTATACACCTCATTGCTCAGATACCGGAGATTGTGTCCCTAAAGTTTTCTTTTCTAGTTTTGTGTCTACGGTGAGATCCTTGTTGTGCTGCCAGGGTAGCAAAAATGATTTCCAATCTCTTCTGTCTGGATTGCATTAATGCCAGTGTGGGGGACTCAGAAGTGTTCACTGATATATGCCTATATTCTGTCCCCCAAGTATGTTGGACATACTTGGCTTTTTCAAAGATGCTGTGTGTTTATCTTTGTGTGTGTGTGTGTGTGTGTGTGTGTGTGTGTGTGTGTGTGTGTCTCCGTATATGTGCGGTGTGTGTGTGTGTGTGTGTATCTCCGTATATGTGCGCCCACATGTGAGCCACTGAGGCAGTGTTCATGGTAGCAGGGTGGTATTATAAATGAAGCATAGCAAATCATGTTCAAAAAAGTGCCGTCTGACTGACTTCTCATAGGTAAGTCTTGAAAAACAGTGTTTATGTTCATATATAACCTGAGTCAAAGTTTTAAGATCGTAGTAGTTTTAAGTTAAAGAGCCTGAATTTAAAAGGCAATAAAACCAATAGTTTCTCCATCAGAAAAAAAGTGCAACTCAGAGTAGGTACTGCTTTTGCTTAAAGGCAAATCCAAGCTTTGCCATTTACTAGGTGTGTGACCTTCAGCAAGATAACTATCTGGATCTGGGGAAATGGAAATATTTGTCTCACATCATTGTTATAAGGACTGCATGAGTCATTGCATGCAAAATGCTTAGCATAGAACTTGGCAAATGGTAGGACACTCAGTGAAAAGAAACTGTTGTCATTATTATTATTTATTGCCCCTCCATATACACAGACTCAAGATGTTTGCATTTTAAAATTGGGTTGTCGATCAGTTAATACCTTAGCTTATGTAATGAACCCTTAGTGGTATAGTTTTAAATACTATAGTATGGAATTAAAGGATATATATATATGTGTGTGTCAGTATGTAATATATTTTAGGTAAAAATAAATGAAAATCAAGGTGACTGCAGTCGTAGGACATACACTTTAACCTAGTGTGCGGGTACATGTATGCAACATCCTATAAATTATACTACAGATGACCACACTAGTGTGAAAATTAATCTATCAAATTCTCCACCATTTCTCATTCTGACATTGTAGGAAAGAAGGTCTCCTTTGTTTAACTGTTGAAATTTATACTTCCTTTATATTCTGTTCTCTACAGCATCTCCCGCTTCTGATTCCTGTGACAGCAGAGAGTACATTATACCTCTGGTGCTGTTTGCCTATTGTTTTATGTTTGTGTACATAATTCTCCCAATTATATTCCACACTCTAAAAGATCACCTTTATTATATTTGTTCACCCAAAACACAATACTGGGCTGAAAATAGGTGATATTTGTTAATTAGAATCCTATGGATAAAGGTCATTGACTGCAAGAAAAAAAAAAAAAAGAACATTAAAAAAAATCCTTAGAGGACCAAGCAAGTGAACATCTGAAAATAAGATTAGTAAATCGGGTAGAATTTTGAAGGTAACACTCCTGGTTTCCTGAACAAGCAAGTTTCACAATTTGCTTGCTGATCAACAATCTCCTTTCTGTGACAAAATAAAGAAAAAGGAAAGATTTAAAGCAAACATGAGGCTGGGCATGGTGGCTCACGCCTGTAATCCTAGCACTCTGGGAGGCCGAGGTGGGTGGATTGCTCAACGTCAGGAGTTCGAGACCAGCCTGAGCAAGAGCGAGACCCCGTCTCTACTAAAAATAGAAAGAAATTATCTGGACAACTAAAAATATATATAGAGAAAAAATTATCCAGGCATGGTGGCGCATGCCTGTAGTCCCAGCTACTCGGGAGGCTGAGGCAGGAGGATCGCTTGAGCCCAGGAGTTTGAGGTTGCTGTGAGCTAGGCTGATGCCACAGCACTCTAGCCTGGGCAACAGAGTGAGACTCTGTCTCAAAAAAAAAAAAAGAAAAAAAAAGCAAACATGAAACACTGAAGCCACTGGCATCACAGCAATGCAGATTTTTAGAGGGGGAAAATTCAGAGAGAAGTTTCAGTCCCAGAAGAGACTTGGGGAACTTCTATGAGTAAGTGCATTAGGCTCTGGAGTAGAGTCTGGCCTGCAAGGACCTCCAGGAACAGACTCCGAGCTCTTTAATAAGTGTTCCAGGGAGACAGGCTTTCCTGGAAAAAACAAATTAGTGTGAGAAGCCAGTACTGTGCAATTTCAGTTTTAAAAATAGCCAGTATTGTTAAGGCTGCTGTGTGCATGAGAGAAAAAGAAAGTCCTTGTTAATATCTGCTTCAGCTTCTACGTTAAAACAGAGGAGCTACACTGAAATTCTTGCCAGGCAAATACTGCAAAGGTTGTAAGGTTCGTATCACTTAGAATTACTTTTGGACATTCCAATGACAAACTTCTGTGGGGGAGGGAGGTCGTGTTCTCTTTTATCCAGTCGGTCTTTCTATAAAGGACAGGAAAGTGACGGTTCTGCCTCTTTCACTGAGGACCAGAGCTGCGCCTTCCTATTTCAGCTCTTCATTTGCCTAATTGACCTGTGAGGCCAGCAGGAACGTTCCCTGCAGCTGTGGCTTTGCTGACTGCAGAGACCCTACCTGGCACTCTAAGTTAGTGCGTCAGCATTTTAGGCTGAAATGAATGAAAAATCAATCAGGATGACTGCAGTGGTAGCATGCACAACTCTATCATAGTTTGTTCACGATTTTCAACTATTTACCATAGACCCAAGCAGTATTTAAGATGGTAAGTGAATTTGTAACAAATGTGCTGCTTTGCTTAAGCAGGCACTTTTTTTTGTCCTCTTTTCTATTTAAAACAATCAAATCTAACCTGCCCAACAACATGAAAAATGAATGATGATGTCAAGTTTCATACAAATATTCTTTATTTGCCCTGGTTTTAGACTCAGTTCCTAATTAGACTCAGTGATAAACATTCACATATAGATACATCACATTGCTATTTTATTAACTTATACTCCAAATTCAGAGGCTTAAAAATTTTAAGAGTCTATTTATGTTCTTGCCACATCTCTTTTTTTACTTGCTATAACTCTGTATATTAAAACTAGAGTGTTTTAAATTTCTAGATTTACAATTCTGCAAAGATAGAGTTAAACACTATTTGGACTCTGGCTACATGAGAGTAACTGGAATTGTTCAAAGCTGCCGTGTTCAGCTCTCAAAGACAGCTACAGTAACTTTCTGAGCAGACTGGGTTAAATATTTTTACAGACCCATTCTATGATGATAAGGCGGTAATAAGTTGTGCAGTGCAACACTCCAAAGGGTTCCAAATCTCACAAGCCTCTTTATATGTGATGCTCTCGCAGTGAAGAAGATTCTTTGGGCTATAAAGATGAAGAGTCTACTTCTTCTGGTGCTGATTTCAGTCTGCTGGGCTGATCATCATTCAGACAACTATACTCTGGACCATGACAGAGTTATTCACATCCAAGGTAAGGAAACATAGGTTCTCTTATGAAAGTCAAATGAATTTCAAGTTACTTAGAGTTGAGATGCTGGGTTAGTGTTTCTTGATTTCAGTTCTGCTGCACTGACTTTTTCTTTTTCTTTCTGCTAATTGGTGAACATGCTCCCTGGCTTTTGAATGCTAATGCCTTACAATAGAGTTAAGAATTGGGGACAATTAAAGTGGAATGGCTTAAGAATCTCTAACTGCTAGGAGTTCTTAAAATAGTTTTTTAGCTTTTTAGTGCAGTTGCCGTCTCCAAGTAAAATGGAGGGCATAAAGTTCATTTAAATGCAAGGAGGAGCGAAGAAATAGGAAGTAAAAGTTGTGATGTAAGGTCTTTCTGTTAGAGTAACTGTTTAATCATTAAAAGAAACAATATAAATAAAATAAAAATCAAACAAGCTTTGGTCCAGGAAAAAGTAGCTTACCCTATTACAGTCTCCTTCAGGAAAGCATTAGTTCCTATAGACCAATACGTTGCCCCAGCATATTTCTGTTCAGCTCAGCTGAATCCTAAGCCTGAGAGCTGTCGCACGATTTGAGGCTGCAGCACAATGCAGCTATTTCCTCAGTCCCAGCTTCAGATGAGGGACATCCTGTGTTAAGAAAGCTAAGAGACGTATGCAATATGAAAAAACATTTCTAAAGGAGCTATAACCTCTCCCTTGCCCTTGTATGCTGAATAATTAAAATAAGAATTACAGAACTTAACAGTTTAAACATACGATGATATTAATTTTAGATAAACTCAAGTGGGAAACCAGAGGCATAATAAGTTTGCTAAGAGACATAAAACACCAAGTTATATCTTCAAGGTCAAAAGTATAGTCTCAGAAAACTGCATTCACTGTTAGAAAGTATGACTTGTGAAGGTCAAGTGATAGTATAAATCTGCCTGGAAGTATTTTCCCGTATGTATTATGACTACCAAAATAGAATTCAGAATTTGTCTATGTCTAGCTATATTTTGACACATCTCTTTCAATTTTGTTTGCTTCCAACAGCTTTAATTTTTTTCACTGTTGAGCCATGAAAAGAAATTGTATAATCATAAATTTTTCCTCTGCAAGCTGCTGACTCAGCTGTTTCCCAAATGTATATACTAGAACCAAAGCAATTTCCCAAAGGCTCTAAGATATTTACACATAGCGGTTTCTAATGAGGAATAACATCCTTTTAACTTCTAGACACAGGATTCAATTCAGCCAAAATGGTAACACGCAGTCATTACTAATAATAGCAGTTTTAAATCCAATGTAAAATCAACCTTAGCAGTGTTTTCAAGTTATTAGTAGACAGATACCCAAGTTATATTATAAATTATGTACAAACCATTTAGTCCAAATTGCAGCCAGGTATGAAATTATTAGTATGAAATATTTTTAAAATATACTAACATTTGAAAAATTACTCCCGTCAGACTCAAGTTATCTCAGCAAGGAAAACTTCTGTTGCTCTAGCTCTCCCATACCTGTCTCCTCTGTGGAAATTTAGTGCAAAGGGATTTATGACCCAAGATATCAGAATTATCTAGGTTATCTGTGTACACTGTCCAATTTTTTTTAAATGCCTTGATAGTCCACTTTATTTTAATTGTAAATTCATATTCTTAGAAAGTGCAGGCTTGCCTTGAAGAGTTGCTAAAGAGCTTTCAAGTAATAGACTACAAGGCCTGTATTTGGCTTGAGGAAATTAAAACTGAAACATCATTTGGGAAATGGGATTATGATGTTATGTCCATAAGCCAAGATTTATTTTAAAATCATTCCAAATACTTGTTCTCATTTCTTTTTCACAATAATTTTTTTTTCTTCCTGATAGCATTCAAATTGAATTTTCAAATTCCATAGTCCTTCAAAGAAACTGCTTCCAAGTGGCCTGCCATAATCCCAGCTGTCTTTTACAATATACAAATAAACCATATAGCACAGTAGAGAACCAATAAAGCAGATTACTTACTTGCTTCATTACTTACTTGAAATATTACATATTTTCTCATGTTTAAAACTTTTATTTATCAAACATGGCCCAGAGGAATTTAAGAGAGCTAAAGCCCTCACAAAATTTTATAAGAATTTGTAGTCAGATAATTAAATTAGCAATCTCAATCTCAAATTCTTGGATTGTACTGATAAGCTGTATGAGCTTCTGTCAGTAATAGAAAATTGTTCAAAATTCATATTACCGTAAAAACACCTTATCTCTCTCCGATTTTTCATTAAATTTCTATTTTTGTTCTCTAAGTTCTTCAGGCATAAATAATAGTGGGAGAATAGTGAACCTCATCCTCAAATTCTCCTTGGCTGCCTTGCTACAGATACTCAACATTTTAATAATACATTTTTGAGTCTCATACGTAAGAATTACCTAATTATTTTTCTGAAGGCTTCCTCTCTGTTTTGTTGTGGGAAATTTTATAGAGATACAGGCACAAAAATGTTTAATCTGGATTTTAAAAAGAAGAAAAAGGCAGATGGCCAGTAAAGAAAATGGCAAGTATAGACCTCTATGCAAAAAGTTTCTAGTGAAAAGTATTTTTCTGGTGATGAAAATGAAAACTCCCCCAGCTTCCCATAGAGAAAGATATAGCTTTAGATGAAATTTCACATGTATTAATTAATTTCCTTTAATTTTGTATTGAATTAATTTGGTTGCACTAGAAAGCAAACTTTACTTGTCCACAAAGTCTACTAAAATATGCAATAAAGATATTAGCTTGCGTATCATATACTATCCTCAATATAAGGAATAATAATTTTATCAAATATTTCCACAGAAAGAGAGGCTGCTGTTAATACCATCTCTATAATAATTTCAACTAATGGGTTATATTCCTCAGGTCGTGATGTATCTAGCCAAACAACTTTTAAATCCTTTGAAACTTGAAACCATTAGGAAGAGTTTTATATGGAGTACCAGATCATACGAAAGAGCAATATTTAAAATATTTAGATCAGGTCCAAAAACTCTTCAGATAGACTTTCAAATACCAGTACAATCTCAGAGATGGTAAATATACTTTTTAAAATACAACTTTTACGAAGACATTACAGATAGCAAAGAACATTTTATGACCATTTGCCCATTAACCCATTTTCCCATAATGTAAAAAGCAAAATAGTTATATTGAACACGTAACTGCTCAGCGTTATCAAGGTCATAGAGTCAGTGCCTCCTGCCTCTGGTGTCCAAGTGCAGGTCTTCACATGACAACTTTGCGTCTTTTCCCTAATGCAAGATCTAGCTTTGATCTTGGAAAATTTACTTAATCTCTCTAAGTCTCAGTTACCCCATCTGTAAAATTTGGCCTAATTCTGTTTATTTCATAGAGCTTTGTGGGCATTAAGTGAGATAATATATGAAAATCTCTTAGTATAGCGGCTGGCACACAATAAACTCCCAATAGTTATCCTGATAGTTATTATCATTATGTTTATTAATTCCTCACTGTTATGGGAAACTGATTTTGAAACAGAAAAGGACCAAAAATACTGGTAGAAAAGTTTATGCTTTTCAAAGTACGTTTGTTAACAGAACGATATTGTTATCTCGGTTCTAATGAAGTAAACATTTTATGAGTTGCCTTCTTTGCCTTCCTTAATTTCAAAATTTAAGATTTCCTCAATAGTATTAAACATTATCTTCTCACTTTTACTTTCCTTGTAGAAACTGAAGCTTTCCAAACTTAAGTAATATTTTCCCTTAATATGCTTACTATGGAAACACAGATAAACCACTTTAAGTTTTTGAAAAGAATAGTAAGAGGAAATCTCAGAAATAAAAATTGTTCCTTTCTATTTAATAAGTAAAAAGTATTGTTAACCTTTCTCAAAAGACAAAATAATCAGATTTTTTTAAAGAATGAATTGCCAGAGGTTCATCTCTGTAAGTAGAAAAAATAATGTGTATCTAGAACTTCTGGCAGCAGTGGACACTCCTCACTCGGCCTCGTTGGTTCCTCCTCCCTAGATTTGTCCTGAACACCACATTCCTTTTTTCAAATCTGGGCTCATTTTCCACACAGCTTTAGCATTGGCTCCCTCCCTTATCAGACTGCCTGTCAACTTTGAAACTCTAACTATATAGCAGTGGCTGGCACATAGTAGGTGCTTAATATATGTTTATTGAATAAGTGAGTGAACAAATGAATGAGTATAATGAGATACTTCCAAATTACAACGATCATAATGAGCATTTCTTAAATGCTGTGACATCGCTGGCATTTACCCGCACATGATACATTGTGTGGCCTAAATGAACATTAAGTAGATGACTGTTTTCATTCTGTGATGTTGGCGTAAGCTAAATCATAGCTCACAGAACTTAAGAACTTAAAAGGACATTAGTATAGATCGTTTAGCCCAATCTCCCAATGTACAAATGAGGAAATCAAGACCCAGAGCATTAACATTGCTCATCCCAGGTTACCTGGCTGATGGGGGACAGTTCTCTTGGCTATTTCCCTCCCCTTCTTCAAATCTGGGCTCATTTTTCGCCTTTTTAATGAAGTCTTCCTGACTACTGCACTCTTCTCCCCTCTGGCACCCTAATCTCTTTCCTCCTTCTTTTCCATTTCTCTGTAACACTGGCTGTATCTCTACTTATTTTGATGTAATTATTTGTCATCCATTTCTGCCACAAGCATACACAACAGCTCCACCAGGGCAAGAATCCTTGTCTCATGCATCCAAGTCACCTAAACCAGCACTTGACACATAGTAGGTGATCAATACATGTTTATCGAATAAATCCAAAACCAAAATCCAGTTGTTTTTCCTAAACAAGTTCCGGTCTAGTCTTTCTAAATCTCAGGGAAATTTTTTTCAATTTATATAATGAGAAGAAGCAGATGAGCAAGAGAATTGTGAGTCTGGGTAGCAGATTTAGTTTGGTCGTGTGCAGGGTTCCCACGCTACACGCAGCATCTTACACTCCATGAGAAGCCACCCGAGGCAGGACGCAGCAGTCTTCCTAATGTGCGTG